AATATACGTGTTTTAGCGTTTTTTCGGAAACTTGACCGTTTTTTAAATAAAAAATATTGTAATATTTGAGGGGTGGTTTTACCCTCTTGGAACTGGAATTTCGAAAAATCCCTTCTTATCGAACCTCTACACCCTAGAATCAAGCTGTGTGCCAAAATTGAGCTTCTTACGTTGAGTGGTTTGAGCAGGATCGTGATTAATCAGTATGTCAGTCACTTAAGGATTTTATATATTAGTATAGATAAGTCAATAAGAAAATGCAGACCATTTTTGATACAAATAACTAAAATATCAAGGTATAGGTACGTGTACTTTAAGTTTAGTTATTTAGTTAGATTAGTTACTAAATAAATTAATAAAATTCTTCGTCACACAATTTTGGTTACCATACTGCTTCGAAAGGGCTTGAACGATTTTGATGAAATTTTATATGTATATTCAGTAGGTTTGAGAATAGGGTGCTGTGTATTTTTTATACCCCAAAATGATTAGGGTGGTTTGGTTTGATGGGGCAATTTTTTTTATTTTTATTTTTTCATTATGTGACATTAAAAAATACATAAAACTGACTTCCTCTGTTTGAGTTACCTGTCAGAGCAATAAACCATAATCATATTTTTTATAACCCAATCATTGTTCTCCGTGAAACTTTACTAATACGCATGGTATCTTTAAAAATCTACATTGCAAATATTTAACAAGACCTTTAAATAATAAGAGAATTATGACCATTAATCCAAGAAGCCTTCTTTAATGGCAAATTACAGCGGTATTTAACATTTATTATAATTTTTATTTAATTTTTTAAGGTACTTTTAGCGTTTCGAATTAAATTTTAAGGGTAAAAATTACCATAAATGCGACATATTTTAAAGCTAAAACATTATCTACATATTCACTAGAGACGTGCATATAGATTATCACTGGAATATTTCTAAAAAAAAGCATGTACGCCACAGACTTTTTTCTCGATTTAGTGAAATAGTGTAAGCAGTTAAAAGCCAATTAAAAGTTGTCTCTTGATATTTTGTCGATTTCCGCCTCCTTGATGAGATGAACCCAATTTTCTCCAAAAAAATCCTTTATGGGTATTTCGCCACCGCACTACAAGAAAATCTACAAAATAAAAAATAGTTATTTTTAGTAAACACTTCTGCGTTGAACCTAAACAGACGCTGCTTGTCAGAAGTTATGTTTACAGTAATACAAATTTGTCTAACAAAGAAAAAAATGCTTAACGTTTCGGAAAGTTACCTCTTTCCGTCGTCGGAAGCAAAAAAATACAAAGAATAAAGAAAAAAAAATTAATATATATAAATTCAACTATTCGAGAACACTTTACTTTTTTAAAACAGATTCGTCTACAAGAAATCGTTGACGTTCTGTTAAAATAATGTATAATGGATTTTTTACGCGAGGAATCTTCCCACGAGAGATGGCACATGCTTTTTAAAACACACTATATATTCTCTTGAACGCGGATATTTCTGTAAAGTTGTAAGAACCCTCACAGGACACTCATATTTTACCAAATCCTATATCTTTAGAAAGTAACCCCCTCCGAAATGCACCTTATGTAGACGACAACCATTCGTGCCATAAACTTTGGTACGACTGATATCGGAGATGGATAACTAAACCTCTGTAAAACCGTCTCAGATATTGGGTTTTGTCAAAGCCCTGAGACTGTATGATGAGTTATAACTCAAGAAAGGGGGACACAATGGATCTATATAGGTCGCGGTGATTAACTACCCCCTCCTATTCAATCTACATCTACATATTACGACGTATTTGTCCATAAGTTTCAACCAATTAATTTTTTGTTCGAAAATCCTTAAGTTATTGGGGCTACAAACAAAAACATACACATTCTGCCAATCCCAACAATTAAACCTGAAGAACACATCCGAAGAATGTTAACAACATATTTCGGAAACCGTACACGTCTATAATATTCGAGATAAGTCGACTTTATTTAAGAAAAAGCCTGCGAAGGCGGCGGTGACATAAAAGAACAACGACAACAACGGTTTTATTACCGAAACTCTTAGAAATACTAATCGCGTTTTTGAGCAGGAAAGATAAGAGGATAGGAGAGTGGAATAAAGTTCGTAACGTACGAACGGAGGAAGCAGAGCATAGAGGAAAAAGTAATTTGGCTTAGATAGATTGCCCTTTTAAAAATAGAAACACATGTAAGGCCGTGTTGTAGAATCGTGAGAAAATTGATTTAGTTGGGGTAATGCGTCAGAGATGACGTTTATGTTATCACGTTAACAATTGTTATATTTTTAAAATGTTACCACAAAATATCTGCCCTAATCGTAGGGTAAAATATAAAAATCTTTAAGACTAAATCTGAGTAATTTTCTGTATATTTAAATAACACCAATATTATTTGTCAGTGATCCGACACTAAGAGTTATTTAAGCTTACTAAATCTGAGTAAGCTAAATCTGAGTAATTTTCTGTATATTTAAATAACACCAATATTATTTGCCAGTGATCCGACACTAAGAGTTATTTAAGCTTACACAGTTATTGATAAATTACAAGGCAATCATGTTTGTATCGTCAACATTTACAGAATTGGTACCGTACGAATTTTTTCTAGTTATAATTTGACTCGAAAATATCAAATACTTAGTTTATATTTTCAGAATCGTAAAGACTTTTGGATAAAAACGGAGTTTATCCAAATATATATACAATATCAGAAATTTTTGGGAATACTCTAAAACGGTGCTGCCACATAGTATTTTGGACACAAGTTGGCCCACAAGGGTGAGCGTCTTCTTATTACGAATTAGTGCCATTTTACAAAAATTACTTTTGATTAGCAGATTAGTTAGACGTATTCAAAATACTTGCGTTGTTATGCAGTGTCATAATATCACTAACAGGTATTTCTAACGGACGTTAAAAACGAAATAAAAGCTGAAAACCTATTATCCATTTCCGACGCTCCAAACAAAGAATGTTTATTTGGTGATCCTAGAGATGTTTGTTTGGTGATCCTAGAGCATTGGTAAATTATAAAATATAATTAGTACAATACAACATCAGGCTGATACCCAGGGATTCAACAAGTCAGTTTTAAAAAGACTTAAGCCTTAAGTCTTAAGGAATTTCTAAAATCAAAATGATTTAAATCTTAAATCAAATTAAACATAAAGTTCAAATGATTCAAGTCTTAAATATTTGACTTGAATCAGATTTTTTGTAAGTGGAGTAAATCATTAGCATTAAAACTACAGGAACAAAATATCTAATGCTTATATTATGCAAACATGTTTTATATTTTTGAAATAAAAGTACTAGTTTTGTTTTTTTGACATATCTTTATTTCTCATCGAGATAGAAAAAAAACGAAAGGAAAATAAAAAATATATTTATTATTATATTTAGCATATAAAAACCTATCTACTAAGCACAAAAAAGTAAAAGAAAATAAAAAGAATAAAAAAATGACAATGACTAAAAATGGGTTTGTTACCCTACACACTTTTTTGCGTATTCCAAACAAATTCTTCTCTTCACTTTCTTCGATATTAGTCTACTGATCGTTTACATCCATATTTTCATCATCTATAACAAAACATACACAGCTACATACCATTAGATATTAGTTAAAAATATTTTTTAACTTCTAATTCGAATTCAGAATCATGATCGCTCTCTATAGCAAAATTTTCGCCACATTCGGATTCTATGTCACTATTTTGCTATTATCGCTGCCAGTCTCTTCAATCCAATTGAGAAGATATCCTCGTAATTGTGCTCGCCATACTTCACATGGTTTGAGCTACTAGGTGCTCGATTCATTCCACAAATTTAAAAAAACTTACGTTAACGCTAACACTCCGTCTGTGAGACGGCATTGACAGTTTGAACTAAAATATTTCGAAAACTACACACTTTCGCAAATTGCCCTACTGAAATTACATAGTTGGATGATAATTAGAAGCGGAGAGGAGGGGAGATGTCATATGTTCAGCTAGTCCGTTGAGTCTGTTAGACAAGGTGTTAGTACTTAAGGGTTAAAAGCCTTCTACAAAAAATAGACCACCCTATAAGTTCTTCTGTTAATAATATCTGAATATTTCTAATAATTTATAGTCAATCAGATCAAAATTCAATTTTAAATTAAAAATAATTTATGTGCTTTCACGATTCTTAAACAATATAACAAACGCCCACGGCATATTTTAGTTCAACAAATGTGAATTAAATCATCCACACTTAGAATTATCTTCGAAACGATTCACTTAAATATATACCTATTCAGTTTCCCAACCCGTTTTCATTATCTAACCTTCGGCACCTGGCAACACTGAAATCAATTCATCATCCACAGAAAAAATAATTTCAAATTATCGAGCTAATACTTTCCATTATACTGTGTCCAGTACTTCATTAGTACTTATTTATTTTATATTTTTTATCGTTGTTGGATGTGTTAGATAGGCAACTAATGATACACCTTGTAATGTATTAGTATTATTAATCTGTAGCTCAGGTTAAGAAAGTCTGTCATTCTTATCATTCTGATCATCTCTATCATTGATTTCACACAGTTTGTTAATTTTAATCATCAATCTCAAATAATACAACAAATTATTATCATAATTACCTATGTGTAAATTTTTTTTATCAATTAAAGTTTTACAAGCTATCGAAGAGTTTAAATCAAAACCAAGACCAGCAATCAACAGTAGGTAACTCCGAAAAGCCGGGGTTCGTACATTTTGGTCCTACGGAGCCGGATTGGATGAAAACGCATGTAATTTCAACAAATTTACAAACCTTTTGGTTCAATCAAGCATCAGAAAATCAGGTCCTTCGAAACGAAACACTGTAAGTACTGGGAAAACGAACATTACAAAGGGGTACAACAGAAGCAAGCCCGCCGTTTCCAGTCGACAAAATCGTTCCAGAAACTTCCATGTTCGGACGCCATTTTGATTATTGAAGCCAGTTGAAGCCTTGAAGCACGATATATTACCAGATATTACCAGATCCAGATGCCACGCTAATAACGCTGACCTTGCTGTTTGGTGTAAATACCTAGAAACATCTTTAAGAGCGTAAATTTATCATATAATCTGTTTTAATTTAATATTACCTGAATCATGACTGAAATAGAGATGTCTAATGACAAAATTGCCAGTTTGATTCAAAATCGTATAACAATTTTTGAGGCTTTGTCTCGATTCACAATTCAAGTTAATCAATTTTCAGATCCCATTAGAATTTATGAACTTCAAGCTCGGTTAGAGAAAGTTCAACTTTTGTGGACTGAGTTTTCAAACGTCCAAACAGAATTAGAGCAACTCGATAAGGATTCTAATCATACTGAAGTGAGATTAAAGTTTGAAGATGAATTTTTTTCATCTACAGGGAGAGCTAAAGGTATTTTAGACACTCATTTTTCTAAATTATATAATCAAAATAGGCCTAAGCCAGAAATTAATCCTGTCATGAGCAATCACAATTTACCTAAACTAAAATTACCAGATTTTTATGGTAGTTACGAAAAATGGCTTCAGTTTGCTGATACTTACAGATCTTTAATACATAATAGTAACTCATTATCAAAAATTGAAAAATTCTGGTATCTTAAATCCTGTTTAAAAGGAGATGCTGCGAATCTGTTAACTTCCTTAGAGGTCTCTGAAGCAAATTATGACAAGGCCTGGTCACTTTTGAGTGACAGGTATGAAAATAAAAGGGCTATAATACAGACCCACCTCAAATCATTTTTTGAAATGCCAGTAATAACAAAGGAGTCTCATATTGCTCTAAGGAACTTAATTGATACCTCGTCGCAACATTTAAGATCATTAGAGTCATTGGGTTTACCAATTGAACATTGGGATACTATTTTAATTTATCAGATAACATCTAAATTAGATTTAATTACTAGAAAAGGGTGGGAAGATTATTCTTTAAAGCTGCCTACAGATACACCAGCCTTTGATGAATTAATCTCATTTTTGAATGACAAATGCCAAGTTCTCGAGAGTATCAGTACAAATATCCCTTCTCAAAAATCAACAAGCAATAAATGTTCAAATAAAAATAGTTCTAGTACTTTTGTTTCTACAATACCACATGTATTTTATGCAACAAGAATCATTTTATTTTTGCATGTTCAGAATTTTTAAAACTTTCTCCTCAAATGAGGCTTAATAAAATCAGGAGTCTTCATGCTTGCACAAATTGCCTGCGACAAGGTCATATTTCCAAAGATTGTAAGAGTACATTTTCTTGTAAAAAATGTTCCTCAAGACACAATACTTTATTGCATCTTCTAGATAATTCCAGTCATCAGACAAACCCAAGGAATGAAGGTTTTAATCCTCAGCCCAAACCTTCGCCAAATCGTCAACAAATCAATCGAACAAATTCTTCAGATAGTATTGACAGTAATTCACAAGCTCTTTCAGTGACTAATAATCACAGCCCAGATTCTTCATATGTTCTCTTATCCACAGCTGATATAGTCATTCTTGACTCTGAGGGTAAGTCACATACTTGTCGAGCTCTTCTCGATAATTGTTCTCAATCAAATTTCATCACGCAGAATTTGTTTAATAAGTTAAATCTTAAATCAAGGAATATTACTCACTCTGTTCAAGGTTTTGGGAACACCTGTACCAAAATATTTAAAAGCACTTCTGTCAATATTAAGTCAAAAATAAACTCTTTTAGTTTAAATAATATTTCGTGTCTTGTCACAGATAAAATCACAAGTAACTTACCTGAAATTTCCTTTAATTCAGAAGCTTTAGGGATTCCTAAAAATATTTCATTAGCAGACGATAATTTTAACAAACCTGGTCCTATAGACATACTCCTGGGAGCATCTATATTTTGGAAACTTATTTGTGTTGGACAAATATTGTTGTCTAATACGCACGCTGTATTGCAAAAAACTACCTTGGGATGGATAGTCTCAGGTTCTTTACCACTTTCAAATGGTTATTCATCAATTTGTAATCTTTCTACTAGTTCACCTTCTTCTATGCTTCATGAGCAATTAGAAAAGTTCTGGAAACTAGAGGAATGTCAAATCAGCACATTTTATTCACAAGAAGAAAAGGAATGCGAAGAACATTTTTTAGATACTGTCTATCGTGACAAATCAGGTAAATTTGTTGTGAGTCTTCCATTGAAGGATAATATCTCTCTCTTAGGTGAATCTTATGATACAGCATTAAAGCGGTTTTACACTGTTGAAAAGCGTCTTAGTAAAAACGAAGACTTAAAATCTCAGTATGCTGAATTTATGTCAGAATACGAAATGCTCGGTCATATGTCAAAGGTTCGTGAGGTTTCTTCTGAGATGGATGACCCAGAATATTTCTTGCCACACCATTGTGTAATTAAAGAAAACAGTTCTACAACAAAACTCAGGGTTGTCTTTGATGGTTCTGCAAAATCCAGTAGTGGAATTTCTCTGAACGATACCCTTAAAATAGGCCCCAAACTTCAGGACGATTTAATGGATATTGTTTTGCTTTTTCGCACTAATCAATTTGCTTTCACGGCTGACATCGAAAAGATGTACAGGTGTGTTAAGGTGAAGGAGAGTCATCGCAATTTACAAAAGATTTTATGGCGTAGTGATCCATCTCAAAGGGTTGAGCAATATAAGCTTAACACAGTCACATATGGCACTGCAAGTGCGTCTTATTTGGCAATTCGAAGCTTGCAGGAAGTTGCTACTCAAAATAAAGAGAATTTTCCAAAGGCTGCAGAGAAAATATTAAGTTCCTTTTATGTGGATGACTTTCTCTGTGGTTCCAATTCAATCAGTGAGGGTAAAAAACTTATATCAGATGTAATACATATACTTGAAACCGCTGGATTTCACTTAAGAAAATGGGTTGCAAACGATCCTAGTCTTTTGAATGATATTTTAAAAGGAGGTTCTTCAAATCACAAATTTATTTCAGACGACAATATGACGAAAACCCTTGGTCTTACTTGGAATGCCAAGGAGGATATTTTTCAATATTCCTTCCATATTTCGCCAACAAATCGAATTACAAAACGTTCTATTCTCGCAGTCACAGCTCAGATTTTCGACCCACTGGGTTTAATTGGTCCCTGCATCATTAAGGCAAAATTGATTTTGCAATCTTTATGGCAGTTAGGCTTAAATTGGGATGAAAGTGTACCAATGGATCTTCAACATACCTGATTTCCTTTTGTAACCAAGTCCCATATTCAATGATATTAAAATACCTAGACACATTTTGTGTAGTGAGTCTAGTAATGTGGAATTTCATGGCTTTAGCGATGCTTCCATAAAATCATATGGAGCTTGTTGCTACCTTAAGACTACAAATCATCAAGGGGAAACTAATGTTTCTTTAGTTTGTGCCAAATCTAAAGTAGCGCCCTTAAAAACAATTTCGTTACCTCGACTTGAGCTATGCGCAGCTGTATTACTTGCAAGATTAGCTCACAGAGTTTTAAATTCTCTTAGAATTAAAATCGATTCTTTTCACTATTGGACCGATTCAACAATCGTATTATCTTGGATAGCATTGCAACCTAGTACTTTAAATACGTTTGTCGCAAACAGAATATCTGAAATTCAGACTTTGACTGAGGTTAATCAGTGGTCACATGTCCCATCAGCTGATAATCCAGCCGATATTATTTCTAGAGGTTTAGAACCTATTAAGTTAGAAAATTGTCAGCTCTGGTGGTCAGGACCATTTTTCCTTAAACAAGGCAAAGAGTATTGGCCTCCAAAAGTAAATCCTTCTTCTGATCTTCCCGAGGTGAAAGAGCAAAAACATACGTTTGTTACTCATAAAAATATCCTTTCAGATGAGTTGGATTTATGTGAGAAATTTTCTTCATATACAAAATTGCTCAGAGTCACTGCTTACTGTTTAAGATTTATAAAGCTTTTAAAACAAAAGGGTAATAAATCTCAATTTGCTAACTTCATATGTAAAGATGAACTACAAGATGCTAGGATTGTCATTAGCAAAATCGTTCAGAGGCGTTACTTTTCTGATGAAATCAAACATTTACAAAATGTAAGGCGTGTATCTCTGAAGAGTCCCCTCTTAAGATTAAACCCATTTCTCGACGAAAAAGGTTTGATTCGAGTGGGAGGCCGTTTGAATCATTGTAATTTATCATATGACATTAAACATCCTATATTGTTGCCCAGTAATTCTTATTTTTCTAAACTTATTATTCTTTATGAGCATCATAGACATCTTCATGCAGGCGCTCAAGCTACCTTGGCAGCAGTTCGTTTACGTTTTTGGATAATCAATGGTCGTAATACAGTGCAGAAAATCTTACGTAAATGCGTTACCTGTTTCAAGGTCATGCCAAAAGTTGCTCTAAATCAAATGGGTGATCTTCCTAAATCAAGGATTACTCCCGAAAGACCTTTCCGTGTCACCGGAATGGACTTTGCAGGCCCTTTCTTGGTTAAGGATGGTAAGGCAAAAAATAGGACATTAGTAAAATGCTACCTTTGTTTATTCGTGTGCTTCACGACTAAAACAGTTCATTTTGAGTTGGCGGTAGATCTTTCAACAGAAGCATTCTTAAATTGCTTTAAAAGATTCATTTCACGTAGGGGTATGTGTACTGATTTGTATTCAGATAATGGCACTAATTTTGTGGGTGCAGCAGCTGATTTAAAATTAACTTTAAACAAAATAAAGCGAGACTCAGTATTTTTGGAATACTTATCTAACCATGAGATAAAATGGCATTTTTCTCCTCCATATGGCCCAAACTTTGGTGGTTTGTGGGAGTCTTGCGTCAAGTCCGCAAAACACCATATGAAGAGAATAATCGGCAATAGTCATGTAACTTATGAATCACTTTTAACTGTTTTATACAAATAGAGGCTGTATTGAATTCAAGACCTCTAATGCCTTTATCTAACGATCCTAATGATCTATGCTCTTACACCTTCGCATTTTTTAATTGGTGAATCTTTAACTTCATTACCTCAAGAAGATGTTAGGTATATAGCTGAAAATCGCCTTAAACATTTCAAACACTTACAACAGCAAGTGCAGCACTTTTGGCAGCGTTGGTCGAATATCACGACACTACAAGAACGTTCAAAATGGCATACTCGATCAGCGAATATAGAAGTAGGCGCTCTTGTGTTAGTAAAGGATGACAATGTACCTCCGTTATGTTGGAACTTAGGTCGCATTGTTGAAGTGATACCTGGCGACGACAACATAGTGCGCGTTGTGTGCGTCAAAACAAAACATGGTGTCTTAAAACGACCAATAGCAAAGATATGTGCACTACCATTTAGCGATAGTTAAGATTTCTTATTTAAAAGGCATTGTTTAAATTAAATTTTTTTTCATACTGTTCTATGTATTTTTTAATATTAAGATATGTAAGAAGTCTTAATTTGTTATAAATATTTTATTTTTTTTTTTTTTTGAAAGTTAGTACTTTCAAGGGGGGCGGTATGTCCAGTACTTCATTAGTACTTATTTATTTTATATTTTTTATCGTTGTTGGATGTGTTAGATAGGCAACTAATGATACACCTTGTAATGTATTAGTATTATTAATCTGTAGCTCAGGTTAAGAAAGTCTGTCATTCTTATCATTCTGATCATCTCTATCATTGATTTCACACAGTTTGTTAATTTTAATCATCAATCTAAAATAATACAACAAATTATTATCATAATTACCTATGTGTAAATTTTTTTTATCAATTAAAGTTTTACAAGCTATCGAAGAGTTTAAATCAAAACCAAGACCAGCAATCAACAGTAGGTAACTCCGAAAAGCCGGGGTTCGTACATACTGTATAATAACCCTTAACAATAGAAAAATTCGAACTAGTTTGACAGTTACTCCATTATACTAGTTTATCCTTGTTCATTCTGTGGAGATACAAGCGCGTTTTCTTTGTTATTAGAGTGGGTGCAGTGTATCTTTTTTGATATCGGATTTGATGCTGGATTTTTAATTACCGTAGATGATAGACTGTGTGAGAGGCTTTGGTCTAATTTAACTGAGCTAATTTTCGACAATAAAGACCTCATATTGGGTGCTGATTGAGAAAAGTTGAAATATCACTGTTACTGCCGATTTAATTTCCACTAAAAAAGTTTATGTGCCGATTTAATGAAAGCAATGAAAGCCGATTTAAATTAACTTTGATTGGGTCTCCAGGTAAGTATTGATTTATATTTTAATTTGTTAGATGTATTTTTTCGATATGTCAGTATATATGTATTTTTTACGGATTATAGCGAAGGTCTTCATATTGCAAATATGTCCATCTTGCTGCTTTTCGACTCCATAATGTATGTAAATTCTTTGGTATGCACTGTAGCTCAACCACTTGATGGATTTTAACATATAATGTGTCCGGTGTCCATAGAATTGTCTTAATCTGGTCTTCATTTTAGGAGAGATATAGGGTAACATGAGCAAAAATCAGAAGACAAGAACAAATAGTGAATCTAATGCAGATTCGTTAAAATTTAACCAAATGAACTACAATACAACAAAAAACAGATTTTTAATCTCTTGGTGTGTCTTGCTAACCAATTAATACCATTAACAGATCAATAAAACTGACGATAAATAAACTTCCATGAAAGGAATGTGAAAATTGTGTGTTTTGGACAATAATAGCTATTTAAAAAAAGTAGACCCAGCGTTTCATTTGTAAAAAGAAAATATACAGTATGTCCCCGGATTGTCTTTACAAGAGGAAAAACTTTTTTATTATTGACATTTTGAGAAAAATCCATTTTTCATTAAAATGTTTGCTTCTTCTAAAATGGTTAATCCCGTTTATACTTTTCCAGATAAAGTATAAACGTAAGCATAACGTTTCCAGATAAAGTATAAAGAAATTAAGAAAATCATGAAAATATTGTTAAATTTTTTTAAATCAGAAATTTTGAAAGTATTAAAAATCAAAAGGCGTTTCTATGGCAATTTGAATTCAATCCGGAGACATACTGTAGAAAATAACACATTCATTTACTTGTTCTGTGTGAGTAGGAAAATCAATCATGTAGTATTCAATGACCCTTCAATTTCTGAAAATAATTGCTCTTACACTCCAATAACTGGGAAATAATCATTCGAAATATGATATACACTACCAAAGTTATGTCTATAAATTACTCCCTAGGATCTATATAGATTGTAGCTTGTATGGGAAGGGGAAATTACGCAAACAATAGTACACAAATATGGCATAAAGCAGTAAAATCAAAGTTATATTTTCCAAAATTTTTGTTTCCTGTTTGATTATAATTTTCATCAACAGTTTTTTATTTGTGTACTTGTCTAGGCACATATTCCATGTCAAAAGACCAATTACCATACATAAGTTAATTCAATTTCGACATTAATTAAAGCTGAATACAAAATTAATCAATTTTGTTCCATTTATTAAATTTGCCGCGTATTGAGCTTTTATGAAAATGAAAATTTAACCGAGGGATCCCTATTTATGTTTGCTTTTGAAGAATTAAAAAAAAATATTTACGATGTGGATGGTTATGTTAATTTTGATGCATTTTGTACATTTCTTATCTCATAAGATATCTTACAACAGTTCACACCTAGACAGATTCTCCTAAAGGTCGTATATAGGCTTGAAATATGTAAACACCTGTTCAGGGTACACGATGATAGGAATCTTTTCCACTTCTGTCTCAACTTACAACAAAAAGGAGAAACACGTAATATAATTAACTGAGGTATACCGGGTGCTTCTCAACAGTGGCTTATTTAACTTTTTTATTTTTTCAGATAAAAAACCGATATTAGGTATGTTAGTACATGGCATAAATTATGATTGATTGACGTATTCAATTGTTTTCAGTCACTTCCTGTTTCACCGGAAATGACTACAACTTTCGATTTTTAAATGACACCCTCGGTATATTTCTACTTTATTCGATAGAAAATGACGCTCTGAATAGAATGACATATCATATGTCAACTTTTGACATCGTCTTGCATTGTTTTCACGTTGTTGTGATATAAGAAATCACTTATTTGTTCAGAAGTTGTTTGCACAGAGAAAACGAAATGCTTAACTTTCTCAAAAGAGCCAGTAAGCTGCAAACTGGTAGTAAAAAAAAATTATTGAGCACGTATCACAATTTAGATACCTAGGAATAGATATGTCTACCATGATCCAGAGAAAGATCTGAGAAACTAGATAAAAAGAGCAACGGCCATGTCAGGATGTCCGAGGCAAATAGTGTGGACAAACCCCTTCCCCCCATGGGAACAGAGAGCAAAATTAAAATTTATAAGATCTTCATCAGGTCAATAACGACATGTGGCATAGAAATCCGAGAGGAAGAACCTAAGAACCATAATGGAGAAGACTAGAAAAGACAAAATTAGAAACACAGAAACAACAGACAACACAGAAACACAGAAGCAACAGACAACAATGTGGAATATAAGACGTAGTGAGATGGGGTAGGCAAAGAAAAAGACAATGGTTCGCACACGTAAAACGAATGGACCAAAACAGGCTACCATGCATAGCTCTTGAAGCATAAACCATGGGTAAGAGACAGCCGGGAAGACCTCCAAAAAGACGGAAAAACAGTTGACAGTCTATCTTCCAAGACCTCCTACAGAAGCAACCTTAAAACTAACGGATTGACTATATCTCAAATAAGTAAAAGAAGAAGAAGACTTATATGTTCAATATTAAATTATTGATTTAAAGTATTACAAATAGTATTTTCCCGACTAATTCAATATAATATTGAAAAATAAAAAAAATTAATTCAGAATATGTCTAATAACTTTTTTCTTTAAATTTGTATATGCATTAAATTTATAAAAGTACTGTTAATTTAAAGATTTTCTATCTAGAAATTGCATCTAGGAAAAATTTATTAAAATTGCAAGACTTGCAAGAGTTATTTGCTCATCACTAGAGGCAAAGGATGTCATCTACAGAAGTAAATTCATCAATTGACAATAGGCAGATCACCTAAAGAGAAGGTAAGAAACTATCCCAGTGTATCCAAAAGGCGTAAAATACTAAAGAAATGCTCTAGAATATTAAATAAGACCAAGAAAATATAAAGTCATCGTGAATATAGAGATAATATGATATTTATATAATTTATTTAATGGAAAACATAGCCAAGGTCCGCGCAGTACTGGATACTCTGGCACATTAATTCTATTTTCTATTACAAATGATTTGTTCTTTCATTTCAAACAACGACAATGACATCTCGAAAAAAGTTTCGGAATATAAATGGATTATCTTCATCAGCCAACGTTGTATTCGTTAAAAACAATCGCGCAAAAGCCGAAACGTAAATCTCTTCCCAACTATTGTTTACGGAAACTTACTGTCAAACACTTTTGAGATGTAAATTCTAAACTGGCCTCGGCCTGGCCATCCTCGTCCTAAACAGACAAAGAGTTCTTGTCGACAGAGCGTAATTAATCAAGAACGTACGCCCGACCGTTTACACATTTTTTCGTGTGTCTTGACCAGGGCTGACACATCAGATAACGACGTTATATATGCGCGTGGCCGAGCGAGGACTTCTTAGGCTCAATGCGTAATGGTTATAATTAAAACGGATCGTTAGTCGGTCAGCACCGAAACAGAGTCGTGCCTTTTCCTCTCTTAGAGATGGGATTGTTTTTTTTTGTTGGTTTATATCAGATGGATAGTTGAATGTATTTTATTCTAATGCTATTCCTACCATTCATAGTAGTATCAAGAAGAAATTGTATGAGAGATAAATTTAGATTGGTGGTAAATAAGATGGTATAGGCATGATTATGATATTTTTTAAAAATCAGAGATTAGATTTTTAAGTGGATATCAGCGTGTTTAAAATATGCTGGGAATAACCAAGAGAGACCCTAAAAGAATTGAGTGGATACGACAAAAGACCCAGGTAATAGATGTCCATCCACTGAATCAAATCCCTCAAGTGATAATGGACAGGTCACCTCGCAAAAAGGACAGGAAACAGATGGATCATAAAAATTACAGCATGGTACCCACGAGGAACTAAGAGACCTAGAGGAAGACCGAACCTGAGATGGGACCATGATATGAAGAAATTAGCAGGGATAACTTGGGCCACCGCATAACTAAGAATAGACAACAATGGGCCCAGCTACAAAGAGAGTTTGTAAGGGAGGCTACACCATAATTGGAAATGTTTGAATAAGCTGAAAATGATGATTAACTTATTACACTGCGACCTTTTCAGATCTGTTGTGGTCATGTTCTGATCTGTAGGTTACATTCTCTAGTTCTATCCTTTTCAAACTGTCT